CATGTCATAGGCCTCGCTATAGTTCTCTACAGGTATAACTATATCCATGTTATAGGCCTCCATAGTTTTCTACAGGTATATCTATATCCATGTTATAGGCCTCGCTATAGTTTTCTACAGGTATAACTATATCCATGTCATAGGCCTCGCTATAGTTCTCTACAGGTATAACTATGTCCATGTTATAGGCCTCTATAGTTTTCTACAGGTATATCTATATCCATGTCATAGGCCTCGCTATAGTTCTCTACAGGTATAACTATGTCCATGTCATAGGCCTCGCTATAGTTTTCTACAGGTATATCTATATCCATGTCATAGGCCTCGCTATAGTTCTCTACAGGTATAACTATGTCCATGTTATAGGCCTCTATAGTTTTCTACAGGTATATCTATATCCATGTCATAGGCCTCGCTATAGTTCTCTACAGGTATAACTATGTCCATGTCATAGGCCTCGCTATAGTTTTCTACAGGTATATCTATATCCATGTCATAGGCCTCGCTATAGTTCTCTACAGGTATAACTATGTCCATGTTATAGGCCTCTATAGTTCTCTACAGGTATAACTATGTCCATGTTATAGGCCTCTATAGTTTTCTACAGGTATAACTATATCCATGTCATATGCCTCTATAGTTTTCTACAGGTATATCTATATCCATGTTATAGGCCTCTATAGTTCTCTACAGGTATAACTATATCCATGTTATAGGACTCTATAGTTTTCTACAGGTATAACTGTATCCATGTTATAGGCCTCTATAGTTTTCTACAGGTATATCTATATCCATGTTATAGGCCTCTATAGTTTTCTACAGGTATAATCTATATCCATGTTATAGGCCTCTATAGTTTTCTACAGGTATATCTATATCCATGTTATAGGCCTCGCTATAGTTTTCTACAGGTATAATTATATCCATGTCATTGGCCTCGCTATAGTTTTCTACAGGTATAACTATATCCATGTTATAGGCCTCTATAGTTTCCTTCAGGTATATCTATATCCATGTCATAGGCGTCTATAATTCTCTACAGTATAACTATATCCATGTCATAGACCTCTATAGTTCTCTACAGACATAACTATATCTATGTCATAGACCTCTATAGTTCTCTACAGGTATAACTACAGTGTATATCCATGTCATAGGGCTCTATAGTTCTCTACAGACATAACTATATCTATGTCATAGACCTCTATAGTTCTCTACAGGTATAACTACAGTGTATATCCATGTCATAGACCTCTATAGTTCTCTACAGACATAACTATATCTATGTCATAGACCTCTATAGTTCTCTACAGGTATAACTACAGTGTATATCCATGTCATAGACCTCTATAGTTCTCTACAGACATAACTATATCTATGTTATAGGCGTCTATAGTTCTCTACAGGTATATCTATATCCATGTCATATGCCTCGCTATAGTTCTCTACAGGTATAACTATATCCATGTCATATTATTATTAGAATAGTTTGTCTTTTCTATACCAGGCACAGACGAGAAATTGAAGACATCATACCACATGCCAGTGATGATGCAATAGATTTATTAAAAAAACTTTTACAGTTCAATCCACATAGAAGAATTACAGTAGAAGATGCACTCAGACATCCCTATGTATCAAGGTACATGTAATGTAAAAAATCTTAATTCTGATAGAGTTCATTTTTTGTAATTCTTAATTCAGAGCTGGGGGAACACTTTGTTGCAATCACTCTCCATCCAACATTGTCTGTCTGGGGGCTTTGTTTGTATTGATGTGATTATAGTTGTATTTCAGTCAGAATATGACCTAGTTGTGGCTTTCTTACGGTATCTCCTCCTTGTGGTAACTCTTTCAGTTGCCAGGTCATACATTATTCACAGTTTTATCAAGAAACCTGTTTTGTGCCAAATTTTGCACATTCTTTTGGTTTCCGGATTGCATTTGAAATCATTTGAACAAACTTGTGTACACACTGCATTGTGCATGTAAATACAAAGCCTGACTCCAAATATGTGACCACTGTCTCTGTTGCTAATATTGTGTCACAGACACGATAGTCGATGAAATTTCCTTGGGTTTGTGTTTTGGTGACACATAGAAGACCCGCTAGGCCTTACTAGACCATGTGATCCCAGAAAAACACAACCACAAACTGATGATGTATGGTCTGGTTATGTCAAATAAGTAAAAAAAATGTTATGAACAGTGTTTATTAACAAAATCTTGTGCATGTTAACAGAGGTCGGTGGAGGTAATTCACGAAACCAACATGCACACTGGACATGCTGAGGAAATCGTCAATCTTCGAGTACATACAAATTACCACAAAAAAAAACACAAATAAAACCATGTGACTGTTGATTGTTGTAGGTTTCATAACACTGCTGGTGAGATATCCCTTGACTATGATGTCATACCACCGCTAGATGACGATACTCTTCTAACAGTCAACGAATACAGAGATAAGCTGTATGAAGTGAGTAGAAAGTACTTTTAACTAAATTTTTTCAATAATACAACATCAAAAGTACCAGGTACTCCATCTTTATTGAATATTATTGTCCACTCAAAAAAGGAAAAATCAACATTTATTTTTAACAAACACTGGATCAGTGGTTGTGTTCCTATCAATCAACAGAATTCTGAAAAGTGATTAAAAATTGTTGTGCAGGGATCTTGAAAAAGGTAGTCATAGAAAATCTTAGCTTCGTCTGAGACAATGTTGTGAGAAAATGGTATTATCTTCTTTACTGTGTTTCCATGACAACAGCTTATAAAAGATAAAAAGGCACAGATTAGAAAACACAAGAAAGAAATTTTAGAAAAACAGTCCCAACAAAGAACACAACAATCACCGCCACCATCGCCAGTGGAAAAATCTCCACGTGTGACTGTTGAGTCCAATGTGGAAGTCAGGAGGACACCCAGAAAGGGTGAAGGTGACCAAGATCAGCGCAACTTTTATGGTAGGTTTTCATTCTTTTCATAATTTATTTCTATACAGAATTAATTTATTCCTTATTTTTAAGCTGCATTTACATGTATCTCCGTAAATGAACTTCTTAAATTATTATTCTTATATGGACTTTTTGAAACTAACGTTATTCCTCATATGGACTACTGTAAAGGGTTAATTGCTCACAGGGTTTTAATTTTGCTTATTTCGCTGACTGGAAAATGTGCTAAATTAAAACCCGATGAATATGTAAAATTTAGCATAAAACACATTATCTAAATGATAAAACCATGAATATGCCTGAAGTGGTAAATCAGCGAAATTTAAACCCAGTGAAAATTAGTCATTTTACAGTATTTATATTTGTTAGTCCCCGTTCGGACGCAGTCCGAAAACGGGGACTTATGTTTTGCCCTGTGTGCGTCCGTCCGTCCGTGCGTCCGTGCGTCCGTGCATCCGTGCGTCCGTGCGTCCGTGATCACCTGTATCTCGAACATGCATGGACCGATTAAGTTCAAACTTCACTCATACATCACACCTTATATGGGACATATGCACATGCATTTTTTTCATGATCCGATTAACGATAGCCGAATAGCGGCCATTTTAAGGCCGAAAATGCATCAAAATCACACATTTTCACCATTCCGGACCCGGATCTCAGTTATGCATGGATGGATTTTGTTCAAATTTGGTACATACATTAAACATAATAGGACCTTGATGCACGTCATTTTTTTTTTTGGATCGGGTTCGAAATGGCCGACTGGCGGCCATTTTGTTTTAAAGAATTCAGTTCTGGATCCGTATCTGAGACATGCTTGGATTGATCGAGTTCAAACTTCACACACACAAGGTACATCATGTCACAAATATGTATGTGCATTTGTTTCATGATCTCATTAACGATAGCCAAATGGCGGCCGTTTTAAGGCCGAAAATGCATTGAAATCGCACATTTTCACCATTCCGGACCCGGATCTCAGTTATGCATGGATGGATTTCATTCAAATTTGGTACATACATTAAACATAATAGGACCTTGATGCACGTCATTTTTTTTTTCGGATCAAGTT